TTATTATCAATGTTGAAAACAGTTGTGAAGCTTAATATTTTTTTGTGGAAATTATGACAGTTTTGTTTTTTAGGATTCTTTGATAAATGAAAGTTTATCAAATGAGATGAAAGTGCAGAAGAGCAGCATTTGTTTAAAATAGAAATGTTTTGTAACATTATAGAAGTAGAAGTCTTCTACTTATATAAGTAGAACTTTTAGTAGAAGTCGCTTTTGATCAATTTATAGCACCTTAATACAATTAAAATAAAAAATCATTAGTGGCTCCAAATTTTCAAACGATAGTGTAGAAGTTATGCATTAAGTATATTCTGAAAAGCATATGATTCGTCTTGTTTAAAAAATGCTAAATATATTGCCGATTCTGCAAGGGATATGTAAATTTATGAAGCAGAACTGTAAGTCACATTACAGAGGTAATATGGGTTTCAAATTCCATTTCATGGCAACTTCAAGCCTTTTTTCAACTCTGCATGGCCATGAACACCTGTATACAAGAGTGTGAGATGTGTGTATAAGTGTGTGACCCGTATACACTGGTGCACCGCTGCTTCTCTCTCTGCCTTGAGTCAGCCTTCATTGTACTTCTGCAGAATGAGTTCCACAGCACTAAAATTTCTCTCCCTCTTCCTCCCCACCCAACCCCATCTTCTTTCTTTCTTCCGTCCACCCCTTCTCTTTCCTTTTCCCTCATTTCTGGATCTAGGCCACAGAATGGGTCGATGATCCTCTACAATAGGAAGAAGGTGAAGTACAGAAAGGATGGCTACTGCTGGAAAAAAAGGAAAGATGGGAAGACCACGCGGGAGGATCACATGAAGCTCAAAGTACAAGGAGTGGAGGTGAGGCCATTTGTCTGCACCATAGTGCACACAAACCCATCAACTCTCTTTGAAATCGTTGGGTTGCAAATAATGGGTGCACATAAGAAAAGAAGCCCGTGGTTTTGTGGTTGTTGCACATGCACTGCAAGTCCCCAAGTCGGCTCCAACTTTTTCTAGTCCACATTTGAGAATGAAAAAATACACCTCAGCAGCCCGAGTTTAGTTTTCCCTTGATAGCAAACAAAATGGAAGCAATTGTTTGTACCTTATTAAGCTCGGGATGTTTGCTCTGCTCCAGAGTGCCGGCATTAATCTTCCCCCATGCTGGGAACCACTGCCATCACAGGTAGACTGCAGGGCCCTTTTCTGCTTTTCCGTGCCCTGGCACGGCCCCACTTTGTGTGTGTGTGAGTGCTCTTTGATTTATCTCCACTCATACACACATATACTCGCTCACCAAACAGCGTGGGTGCTGGATCCAGAGTTTTACTCTTTATTTTTTTGGTGTTTGAACTGAGTATCTATCATTTTGTGTCCTTTGGATAGTTGAGCATGCTGAGGTCATGTGATGTTGTTCTGCATATGCAAACCCAAACTCATATTATACAATCATATAATTGAAAAAAAAAACAACAACAAAAAACGCGCACACAGAATATTTGAAACACTTGCCAAGACGTGCATTTATTCTCTGCTTGCTCTCTCTTCATGGAGCTCTCATTAGACAGTGAACAGACCTCACTTAACAACCAAATCTCTGCCAATCATTTTTTGGCAGTGCGTTTTCTGACAGCAGATGTTTTAGAGGAAGTTTGGAGTTTCCACCAATTATCCATTAAATTTACCAGCTTTACCTCTTAAAGGTATAATTCCCAAAAAATATTCACTCATGTTGTCCAAACCAGTACAATTTAGCATCAAACACAATGTTTAGCAGAATGTTGGCACTTCTGTTTTCCATACAATGTTGGGAACAGATTTTCAAACATAAAAAATGGCAGAACATGCTTTCCATTCATTTTAATTATTAGCTAAATTTGTTTCAAAGTAAATCCTACACCAATGTTTTTATTGAATTGCTTATTCACATACTGTACAAGACATGCAACAACCAATGACATTTGGCATTATTTGAGTGTTTGGTTATTGGCTTAAATTTTGGTATATTCCTCACACAAAGCTATTTAATGACTGTGGATGACTTGAAATGTAGCTACTTTTCTTGTGCTTTTGTGGTACTTTTTTCTTTCTTTTTTTCTCTTTGCTCACTGGAAGTACACCATTTGAAATACATGCCATGTTACTAATCACTTTGTTTAATTACAAAATTTACCAGCAGGGGCACATAGACAAACAATTTATAAATAGCGTAGATGGAATAAAAGGACTCTTCTTGTAAATAAGTGGACAAAATATATCTGTGCTATATGTTAATGTCTGTTTTTGTTTTTGGAGATACTGAAATCTGATTAGGGTTATTGTAACTCAAGGTCCAAACTCTTTCCTCCAGTGTCTTCCGTTCTGTTTCCTTCCTTGTATCTCAGGCTCAATCCCAAAGCAGGGATCACAGCGAGCAGATTAATGATTTAAACATAACAGTGCCGACATGTTCCCAGGCTCACCAAGAAACCAAAAGAGAGAGAGAATGAATGCGGTGCAACAGGAAGTCTTTCAGAATGACATTCACACAGAAGAGCCCAGCGCATTGAATGAAAGCAGCATCAGGATGAAGATGACACGATAGAATGGGAAACAAAGAGAGAGAGATAGGAGATGGGATTAGAAGCAGAATTAATTAGTGTTAAGGTCAGCACATGACAAATTGTGGTTTTATAAAAAGCGGGAATGAAAGCAAGATGGGCAAACAGACGTAGCAACTACCCATGGCACTTGACAAATCGGTTGAGGGAGAACGAGAGAGGATTGTGCATGACAGATTTTGACTGGCATCTCTAATTAAAAGGTGCTGTCAGGGGCCACAGTGCGGGGAGAGAGGGGCCCCATCAGCCCCTGAGACTCGTCCCCGGAAATGATTGATGAGCAATTGCAAGATAAATAAGATGCCCCATGAGCTGAGCTGCAAACTGATGTATGCAGTATTATAAATAAATCTGCACCAGAAAGAAATGATAAAATAAACAAGACAATGCAGGCAGACAATGACTTGCCGTTTCCAGAGAGGCTGGGCTGTTTGGGTACGTGGGGAGTATGAGTGTGTGTGTGAGATAGAAGTATAATATGTTTGCTGCCATGCTGGGCTAAAGTGATGGCTGGCTAACAGACGCTAACAGCAGCTGGTTTCATGGCTGAGACTTTGCTGAAGCGCCTGAACTCCCACACTCCTAACTTGCATGCAACAAAACTGCAGCCTCCTGGGACCCAGCCAGACTCTGTCATCCATAGATGCACCTTAATGCGTGCACCTGTAGCTTTTTACTAAGCGTGCATGGCCTCGCAGACGTGTGTGTGTGTGTGTGTGTGTGTGTGTGTGTGTGTGAACGCACGGCCAAGCGCGAATGTGTGTTCTTGCGATGCCTCCTTGCTCTGCAGTTATTAGTTGTTGTGAAACATGTGTACTGTCATAAAGAGAAGTGAGCTGGGAGCTCTTCGGATGCATACACGGTATCATTATCAACCAGAGGGCAGTGGGATGGTAAAGTGAGAATGAATTATGAATGGAAAGTTGAGGATGTTCTTGCGCATGTTTTCCCCACAGGACATGCTCCACTGCTCATTTGCATCAGCGAAGCGCTGCTGGTCATAGGTCTATATGAAATATTCGTATATCTCTCCCTTGACAAACAAAGCGGAGTTTTAGTATATTTAAAGTTGACATGAATAGAAAATTGACCCTATTTGAACACATTTTATAAAGGCTACATATGGTACAACTGGGGAATAAAAAAATTGGCTACTGGTAACAGCACTTTCTTAATACACTTTTTTTCTGGTCTTAATGTATGATTCATTGCTAGATGTTTGTTTGTTTTTTAAATACACAGAAACAAATTTTTTACTTTCATCTTAATGCAGTAAGGCCTTGCAGACTATTAATTAATGTTAACCAGGTTATACATGCATTTAATAACAATACACAGTAAGACCAGTAACATATAATAAAAAAGTACTAAAATCTTTAATGTATTCAAAGTTTTGAAATTGCTAGAAAATCGCAATGTAAAGGTGCACTGGGATGCATAAAGATGCTCTAGAGGGTGCATTTTAAAAATGCATTTTAAAAAATAATAAAGAAAGGTCATTTAAATGATTAGTAATATCAGTAAAGTAATATTGTGAATTATTAGTACAATTTAAAATAATACTATTTTAAATATATTGTAAAAAAATTAATTTATTCCTGTGCTGGTAAAGCTGAATTTTCAGCAGCCTTTACTCCAGTATTCAGTGTCATATGATCCTTCTGAAATTATTCTAATATGCTGATTTGTTGATCAAGACACATTTCTTATTATCAATGTTGAAAACAGTTGTGAAGCTTAATATTTTTTTGTGGAAATTATGACAGTTTTGTTTTTTAGGATTCTTTGATAAATGAAAGTTTATCAAATGAGATGAAAGTGCAGAAGAGCAGCATTTGTTTAAAATAGAAATGTTTTGTAACATTATAGAAGTAGAAGTCTTCTACTTATATAAGTAGAACTTTTAGTAGAAGTCGCTTTTGATCAATTTATAGCACCTTAATACAATTAAAATAAAAAATCATTAGTGGCTCCAAATTTTCAAACGATAGTGTAGAAGTTATGCATTAAGTATATTCTGAAAAGCATATGATTCGTCTTGTTTAAAAAATGCTAAATATATTGCCGATTCTGCAAGGGATATGTAAATTTATGAAGCAGAACTGTAAGTCACATTACAGAGGTAATATGGGTTTCAAATTCCATTTCATGGCAACTTCAAGCCTTTTTTCAACTCTGCATGGCCATGAACACCTGTATACAAGAGTGTGAGATGTGTGTATAAGTGTGTGACCCGTATACACTGGTGCACCGCTGCTTCTCTCTCTGCCTTGAGTCAGCCTTCATTGTACTTCTGCAGAATGAGTTCCACAGCACTAAAATTTCTCTCCCTCTTCCTCCCCACCCAACCCCATCTTCTTTCTTTCTTCCGTCCACCCCTTCTCTTTCCTTTTCCCTCATTTCTGGATCTAGGCCACAGAATGGGTCGATGATCCTCTACAATAGGAAGAAGGTGAAGTACAGAAAGGATGGCTACTGCTGGAAAAAAAGGAAAGATGGGAAGACCACGCGGGAGGATCACATGAAGCTCAAAGTACAAGGAGTGGAGGTGAGGCCATTTGTCTGCACCATAGTGCACACAAACCCATCAACTCTCTTTGAAATCGTTGGGTTGCAAATAATGGGTGCACATAAGAAAAGAAGCCCGTGGTTTTGTGGTTGTTGCACATGCACTGCAAGTCCCCAAGTCGGCTCCAACTTTTTCTAGTCCACATTTGAGAATGAAAAAATACACCTCAGCAGCCCGAGTTTAGTTTTCCCTTGATAGCAAACAAAATGGAAGCAATTGTTTGTACCTTATTAAGCTCGGGATGTTTGCTCTGCTCCAGAGTGCCGGCATTAATCTTCCCCCATGCTGGGAACCACTGCCATCACAGGTAGACTGCAGGGCCCTTTTCTGCTTTTCCGTGCCCTGGCACGGCCCCACTTTGTGTGTGTGTGAGTGCTCTTTGATTTATCTCCACTCATACACACATATACTCGCTCACCAAACAGCGTGGGTGCTGGATCCAGAGTTTTACTCTTTATTTTTTTGGTGTTTGAACTGAGTATCTATCATTTTGTGTCCTTTGGATAGTTGAGCATGCTGAGGTCATGTGATGTTGTTCTGCATATGCAAACCCAAACTCATATTATACAATCATATAATTGAAAAAAAAAACAACAACAAAAAACGCGCACACAGAATATTTGAAACACTTGCCAAGACGTGCATTTATTCTCTGCTTGCTCTCTCTTCATGGAGCTCTCATTAGACAGTGAACAGACCTCACTTAACAACCAAATCTCTGCCAATCATTTTTTGGCAGTGCGTTTTCTGACAGCAGATGTTTTAGAGGAAGTTTGGAGTTTCCACCAATTATCCATTAAATTTACCAGCTTTACCTCTTAAAGGTATAATTCCCAAAAAATATTCACTCATGTTGTCCAAACCAGTACAATTTAGCATCAAACACAATGTTTAGCAGAATGTTGGCACTTCTGTTTTCCATACAATGTTGGGAACAGATTTTCAAACATAAAAAATGGCAGAACATGCTTTCCATTCATTTTAATTATTAGCTAAATTTGTTTCAAAGTAAATCCTACACCAATGTTTTTATTGAATTGCTTATTCACATACTGTACAAGACATGCAACAACCAATGACATTTGGCATTATTTGAGTGTTTGGTTATTGGCTTAAATTTTGGTATATTCCTCACACAAAGCTATTTAATGACTGTGGATGACTTGAAATGTAGCTACTTTTCTTGTGCTTTTGTGGTACTTTTTTCTTTCTTTTTTTCTCTTTGGAGACTGACAGCTCCTTGCAGATGTTTGTGGCTTGGATGATTTTGCAGATCATCTCTTTTTGAGTTCCACAGAAGAATGACAGTTAATCAGTAAATGATGACAGAATCTTAATTTTTTGGTGAACTGCTCCTTAAAGGACATTTGCAGTGGCAAAAGTTTCTCAATGCATCAGCCAACAGAGTCTTGTAAAGTTCAGATATATGTGAGAAATGCTGCAAAGTTCTTTATAGGCCTCTGTCATCTCTGAGGTGTCCTCTGACCCACACACATGCTGAATTCTACTAAAAGATCTCGTTTGAGCTGAGGTAACTCTGAGTTGAACTCACTCACTGAGCTGAAGAAAAACTCAAATAAACCCTTCTCTCTTTTCCTTTCTCTCTGTCTCCTTCCTTTATATCTCTCAGCCAGCACCGCCTGCTGTCATCTGGCAGGCTTATCCTCTAACATGCCTCCATATGTTTTTTCCTGTGTAAATGGCTGTGGCTTACAGTGGGCTAATTTCAGAAGGGTGGCAAGAAGGCGTTGGGTACTAAGGTGGACTCAGCAGAAAATTTCATGTCTGGCAAGCAGAGAAAAAAAGAGTGCACAGTGCGAACACTTCCTAGCTCACAGCAGGCTTAAAGGGATAAGACAGAGGGAGGTGTTTAGAGGAAGGTCCAAGTTGTTATTTTTCTCACAGTAAAATGTAACCATGGCTTTCTCTGTATAAATTCTGATAGAGAATACAGGAACATTTCCTTTGGTGTTTCATTCAAGAATGAAAGTCTCATGGTTTGAAATGACAAATGAGTGAGCGAATAATGACAGAATTTAAATTATGGGGGTAATGCTGAAATAATTAGTAATAATAATAATAATTCTAATAATTGAAAATTTTATCAATTTGACTTCTTATAAGTTAAACTTTTTTTTCATTTTAGGAATGTATTTTTTATATATATTGTAATGTTGTTGTTTTTTTTAAAGGAAATGCACATAATATATAGCATAGATTACCATTTAAAAGTTTGGGGTCAGTACAATTTTTTTTAAAGAAATTAATACTTGCATTAAGCAAGGATTAAATTGATCAAAATTGACAATAAATAATTTTACGTTGTTACAAAAGATTTCTATTTCAAATAAATACTGTTCTTTTGAATTTTCTATTCATCCTAGAATATTTGATCAAATGTGTCACCGTTTCCATAAAATATTAAGCAGCACAACTGTTTTCCACATTAATAATAAAATGTTTTGGTCACACTTTATTTTAAGGTCCAATTCTCGCTATTAACAAACCATTAACTACAAATTTTGCCTCAATAAACTCCTAATTTGCTGCTTATTAATAGTTAGTAAGGTAGTTGTTAGTTTAGGTATTGGGTAGGATTAGGGCATAAGAGGCTTCTTTCAAAAAACACACACAAAAAAATCTTACCAACCTAAACTTTTGAATGGTATAGATTCTGTATTTATTTACATAGCCTTCAGTTTGCTCCTTGTTTGAAGAACAATAGTGGGCAGGATAATATAAACAATGGGCATTTTTATTTGAATAACTGAAGAAATAATCACTAGACTAATTATCAAAATGATTTTTAGTTACAGCCCTATTTTTGAGTAAACTATCCCTTTAAGAAATCCCCCTCTGTGTTTATGAAGAAACTATATAGTCAAATGGCCGCGTCTCCATAGGTGAAGCATAATGAGGCTTCTGATCAGATGGCTCCAGCAGCGATTGGACACCGACGGTCCTGTGTTTCTCTCCTCCCGCTATGAGCAGCAGTATAATAGGGAGCGGCCACTCAGTACGTCCTCCCAGCGCACCCCAGACCGAGCGCAGAGCGATCAATCAGAGCTGTGCTCTTCAGGATAATAACCTTGCCCTATCAGTCTGCCTCAGACCTGTTTACTGCAAACGCAAATAAATGACGTGACCTTCACCTTCAGAGCCATTTCACTGAGGGCTTTTTCTCCAGGAGGGGTGTGCGAATGAGAGGTGTCATATTGTGTGGTCTGTGTGTGTTTGAAACAAGGGCTGGTAAAACTCTGTGTCTCCGGGCTACATGACAATTCCTTTAAGTGGCGACTGTGGTGGCTACCCAGTAGGGCTGCACGATAAATCGCATGCGATATTTAATGCGCATCTTGTCAGAAAGCCGGTTCTGTAATCAGCGGTAAATCTCCATCACGTGCGTGCTTTCACATTGAGCAGCATTAACTACACAGAGCCGTTGTTCACTGACGAGCTGCGCAAAAAATCGCGCGAATATGAACGTGGTTTTGCGCAGCTCGTCAGTGAACAACGGCTCTGTGTAGTTAATGCTGCTCAATGTGAAAGCCCGCACGTGATGGAGATTTACCGCTGATTACAGAACCGGCTTTACTGATAAGATGCGCGTTAAATATCGCATGCGATTTATCGTGCAGCCCTACTACCCAGCCTCCTTCACTCTCCCACTATCTCCCTTTTCTCTCTCTCTCTATAGAACAGATGAACCTTGAGTCCACAGTAAAACTCCTTGTTCCCTAAAATTGGAGCAAGACGTGTGTTACAGCATTAGTACTTAACAGGGCGTGAAATAGCAGCCTGGCTTCCTGACGTCTCCCCATCACTTCAGGTGAGAGTGTAGACGATGAGATAGATGAGCATCCCCCCTTCCTCCTCTTGATCATTCCCACAATGCAACAGGGCCACCAGAAAAAGGCATGTCCGTTACTGGCTATCTAGTTTCTTTCCTGGTTGTAGCTGACATCTTCCTCCTCTGACCCTCAGCTACAAAGGCCTAATCAGGAAGTCAACCACCCGTGATCCCAGTACACAGCAGACTCATTTATATTCCTAATAATTCCTGACTACCTAACCGCTTTCAAGGATAGCCGTTTTGTCTTTCTATTACAAGGCGTTTTAGCACCATCAATTCAATGGGTGAATCAGATGAATGATGTTGCAGGAAAAGTGCTGAAAAGTGGAAAAGTTAAGTGTGACATACACAGGTAGCTGATCTCAACTCTTTGTGTCTGTGCTGTCAATTCTGGCTGACTTGAGGGATCATCACAGTTCAGTTTGTATTTGTGTGGCACTTTTTACAATGCATTGTTCCTAAGTTCCAAAGCAGCTTTACAGGAAACTGAGAAATAAAGAAGAAAAGAAAATAGTGCTTTACAAGCCCCTAGTAACGAGAAAAGCTCCCTATGATTTTTATTTTATTTTTATATTTTTGGATTTGACATCTGGGCTTAGGTTAAAACCTCAGACATCTTGTAAGGACATTAGGGGGTTATCCTAGCTTGACAGTCATGTATTATACATTTTTCAAGCACAATAACTTTTTTTTTTTATCAGATAGAATTTTGATATCAGAGTTGAGACCCTAGAGTGACTCTGATCTAATTCTTTATTAACAAAGTACATTAACAGTTAACATAGAGGTGGTTGAGGAACAATGCTTACTAGTGTCTATTTCTACCTCTAAATCTGCTCTCTCTCTCTCTCTTTCATTCTCTGTGTGATCAGTTCTCCTGTCCTGGACCTTATACTGTACTTGTTACTATTTTAAGCAATTTATTATTGTCAAGGTAAACTTTAGTCACTTTCAGATTTTGTCCTGTGTAAAATCGGTACTTTTCTAATGTTCTATGACCTTGTTTGCCCTCAGAAAGTCATAGAAATTACTATACTTAAATTACTAAAGGCCTGGTGAAAGGAAGACAATATACAGTATGTTAAAGAATTCAGTCTCAGTGTAAGCATGTTTTACCTTAGCCCTA